AAATGTTATATATAATTAAACTATACTATAATATACATTAGCAAACAATCAAAGCTGAAGAATGTACAGCCGTCAAACTGAATATCATGCATCAATGTTATATTATATACCAGATATACGATGATCTTCGCCCAGAAAATATAAGAAATGGTCCTGACATTTTTTCTTCCTGTATAAATACTTTATCCTGTGTATATATGGGATATTTCTGAAACAGAATATATTTCTAGAATACATGAAAGATTCTCAGAAGAAAGTCCTTCGGTAAATTTTCTAAAAATAGTATCGTAAATTAATAACAGCGACAGTCCACATCAGATGGATCAAGTCGATTCACGTGGTCGAAATCACAAAACTTGTTTGCACGTTTAAGGTTAGGGATATTTACTCATGCAATAAAAATCGATGGAATAATTTCCAATGTCTGTGACAATACTACGTCATGATATAAAAAATAATATCGTCGAGATATACTCATTCAGATCAAATGATCAAGGAGTGCTGTTTTTCTTTTAAATGCACCGGTTTTTCACTGTCCTAATCCAACGTTCGAATGATGCTCTCGTAATAGAAATTACGTGAGATATAACAATGTACAATGTGTCGCGTAAAAACACAACCCGATTGTGGTATCAGATCAAGAAACTTGCTGTCTGTAAAAATAACAAATAATATATTCTATCAAAAATAAAAAATGCTCTACTAATTGACAAATAAAATTTCGCGTGTAACGCAAACTCGCATTTTACGCGATATATCCCGATTTTCCAATTTTAATGAAAGTTATTATTGACGCAGCGTTTCGTGTCACCCGATATATAACGACGATGGTGTTAGGTCAGGTCAGATTAGGTTAGATACATCGTGGAGTGATTCAACCCTTCGCTGACTCCGCACGAGCGGCAGTCGCGTAAAAATTTCAGTATTACGAAGACATACCTTCAACTGTCACAAGTTCATTTCGAAATTACATCATGCGTGATTTCGGCGTGAACGCGTGAGTGCAAAGTAAAAGGAACGTGGAGCGTTCGTCTTGCGATAACGCGGTTATGTCGCACGTAAGATTCATGTTAATCAGCCAGCGGTGACATTCGAGAATCTTCAGACAGAAAATCGGAAGAAATGTCATCCGAAAAGTCATCCGAAAAGCCATGTCGCGCCTGCATGGACTTCCGGACGTGGGCGAAACGTCAAAAGGAGGTCTATAATTCGGAGAAGGTGAATTGACAGTTTGTAAAATCAAGAGTTTAGATACAATGAAAAGATAAGGAATACGCAAAAAATAAAAATTTTGAAATTAAAAATAGAGAACTAAATTTTGATAGATAAGAATTCGATAATAACATAAGATATTCTTTTATTGGTTGAAGGTAGTTTTTTTAATTTTCTTTATATTTAATTTCTTTCTTCTTTAATTCCATTCATTGTGTCTGAGCCTTAATGCGAATTTTCATCAATTTCAATCTTGATTTAACATATTTTTTTTAATTCTAGGATGTAAAAAAATAAAGAATAAGTTAAATTAAGATTAAAGTTAAAGAGATTTATTAGTGATTATCAATTTAATCACTATTACTCAATTGTCAGATATTATATCATCAGATGTAATCATTATTCTCTTTTTTTCATTCACTGCTTCTAAGAGTTGTATCATTGATGATAACATTGCTGTAATTTATCATCAGGGATTACAGAAGAAGCAGGACCAGGCACCAATTACTAGAAATAGTGGTACTCAAGAGTGTCCCTTAGATAAAGATGAGTTAGGTTCGAAGACTTGGGCTTTTTTACATACCATGGCGGCATATTATCCAAATAACCCGAGCCAGCAACAAAAAGCTGACATGAACAGCTTCTTTCACACATTTTCCAGATTTTATCCTTGTAACGCATGTGCGGAAGACATGCAAGAGCAGCTGCGGCATTCACCACCAGAGACTAGTTCACAAGAAAAACTGACTCAGTGGCTGTGCCGAATTCATAACGAAGTTAATAAGAAGCTCGGGAAACCAGAATTTGATTGTAAATTAGTGAATCAAAGGTGGAGGGACGGTTGGCAGGATGGCTCTTGTGATTGATAAATAGATAATAATAGTTTCAGAATGTATAATGGGACCTGAATACAAATATGAATTATTGTAAATAATTATAAATCTTTTCATTAAACATTCTGCTACTCTTATATTCTTTTCTATTAAGTAGATTATAACTTGAATTTATCCTTTATCTTTTTCTTAAAAAAGAAAAAAATAAATCAAGATTAAAATTAATCAACATAAGTTGAAATGAGTATATTAAGATTATATATATATATATATATATATATATATATATATATATATAATA